GGGTAAGAAGGCTAGGATCAAAATGTTAAGATGTAGAAAGTAGGTTAGAGGCCAGAGCTGTATAATAGGTGAAGGAGATAATTACTTAACAAGAAAATTGTGTCCAGGGTTGGTGCTGAGGACAGTAAATAAGGCATGACTCATAAGGAAGCAAAATCACTTGAAGAGTTAGTGCTGCTGGTTCTTAAAACTCACATACAGTATCTCATTCAGTGCCTGGGGCCTGGAAAGTGGGGTTTATGGCCTCATTTCATGGATAGCTAAACTAAGATTGGAAAAAATTAGGTGACTTGCCTAAGGGTCACAAAGGTGGGATGAGAATTCAAATGTAGTTTCTCTGGTTGCAAAGCCTCCTTCTTTCTGCTACAACAGAGAGTAACATTAGGAGAGAAAGAAACAGAGGCCAAAAGAACAAATAGAGCAACGTCTGCCCTTTGGAGTCCTCCACCAATTCTTCCTTGACTAAAGATTGAGTTCTACTCGAGTTCTGACTTAAGAAATATCGATAGAGAGGTAGCAAGATTTATTTCCACCCCTGCCTACCAGTTTTCAGGGACTGCCTTCCTCTCAGTGGAAACTAACTCACAATTCTCATATTGTCTTTACAGCAACTTCTAGAGCTACAGCTTTTAGCTTACTGTGGACAAGAATAGCTAGCTTTTATTAAGCACTTACTCTCTGTTAGACAGTGTTCTAAATTTAATTCATTTAAACTTCATAATGTGCCTCCGAAGTAGGGTCTGGTATTTTCTATATTTTACATACGAGCAAACTGAGGCGTAGAGATAGGATATTTCCTGAGATTTCACAAGTAAATGAAGGACTTGTGTTTTAAACCAGTAGGTCTTTAACCACAATGCTATGCCGCCTCTCAACTGGAAGATGAGTAGCTACCATAAACTAATAGCTCCTGATGCTTTGCCAGTAATTGAATCATTGCAACAACTCTGGAGGCAGGTTTTTAAAATTATGATAATTTTATTTTACAGCTGAGGAAACTGAGTCACGGGAAGGTTAAACTATCCACCCCTAGTTACACAGATACCGAGCAGTAGAGTCTGGATTCAAATCCCAGCAGAACTGAGCCGGTTCTTGATAAAACTGCAATTACATGAAAGTGTTATTGGTCTTTAAATTGTTAAGACGTTAATGACCTTGGAAGGCGAATGGAATCTGATGATCTCTTTTCCATCCTGCTTGCTTATTAGTTGAGGGCTACAGAATCAAGATTGTATGGACTAAGTGGAAAACTGCTTTTTATTTTAGGCAAATAGGTAATTATGCTTCCTTGTGGAAGAAAGAAGTGAGGTTATATAGCATCTCTTATAACTGTCACTAAAGAATGCCCTCTATGTTGAGCATCAGGAGCTAGCACTGTCCCACAATTGCTCCTTCGCGGCAGTGGTTCTCAAAGTAGGCACCCACCAAAATACCGGCGTTAAATGCTGAGTGTGAAAATACTAAATGCCGAAAGCAAATAGCGGTAGGCCTAACTTGCAGAAAACAATTATGCAGATAGGATTTTCTTCATTGAATATTTCTTTCTCATGAATTCTTCTTGAATCTTCGGAGCCTGGCTTGTTAGTGAGTGACAATATAAATGAAGAACAGGCACAAAGCATTAGCAATTGCCTGGTCTGCTTCAGCTATATTTTGGGAGTATCCAAGAATGCAGTTTCCTATTGCATTCGTAACATGGGGATCATCACTTTTTGGGGTTCCTCTAGGAGCACCCTAGCTCCCAGATGGAGGCCATAAGGTCAAGCAGCCAACATGGAGCAGGACATTTGGTGGAAAACAGGTCACACATTCTACATGGCTTTTCTCTCTGGCATCTGGTTTGGTATAGAGAAGGCCCACTCAAGGAAAATTTGCTTCAGAGAAAAACACTCAAGCAGGAGTTGAGAGAAGCTTTGCTGTTGCATTGCACCGATTGGAATGGGAGACTTTTTTTTCATTTCATTCTCAGACGTAGTTCACATCCTGGTCTTCCTCCTTCCTCCCACCCCGTGACTCTCATTCAGCTGTGTTGTGAAGGTTCCACAACCCCTTTAAGGTTTATGGTCTGATGAAGCACAGCTGGATAGAGGTTCTTTATTCTTAAGCCTTCGGAAGGCTTCCCTTTGAAAGTTTACAAACGCCCCATCTCTTTTCTCTAGGTAGGAACATTAGGAGCAGACTTTAGTGGACGTGAGGCATACTCAGTATCTACCAAACACAATCGGGTACATGGAAGTCATTCCATTTCTGACGGGAGGGATTGTTTCCCATTCTTTTTCTTTACCTAAAAGCATGTAAGTAGATGGATTGGAGCAAATAACAATAGTCAAGCCCCTCTGCAGACTGGTGGAAGCACTCAGGAACGGCCTCCCACCCCTGTGGGCCATGCAGTCATTACATTCTCCTGATGCTCTGCCTTCACCCTGTGGTCTTCCAGACCGGTTAGAAGCTGCAGTGTGCTGTGCTTCTCTGCAGGAACTCCCCTCCAACCCCCACCCACCACACAAACACACCTGCAAGCTGCTTTAGTGGCTGTTCCATCTGGGCTTTAAGAATAGATAAAACAATCAATAGCAGATAAGTGGTATCATGCTGCTTCAAACACAGAGGGAAACAGTGGGTCCCCTTTAGACAGTTAAAACAGCAGCTACAAAAATGAAGAGCAATGACTTGGGGGAAGGACGAATCCGACATCTGTTGACCATTTGGCCAGTAGCTAGTGGTGCACCAAAGAAGTAACTTGAACAAGTTCAGAATCCAAGAGAAAAAAGTTGAATTGATTTGGATATCAGAGTGGGGCAAAACATTCTATTGTTTGGCACCATTTTGATCAAAGAGAAACGATAGATGTCAGGCTGATTTGTCAAAATCATTGTAGAGATGATGGGTTTTATGTTCTTGTATAGTCAGCTTTGGGGTGCTTTGCACACCTTCACAGAGCTGGCCAGTTAACCTTCAGAGCTGGAACTACATTGTTCCCTCAGTCTTCCTCGTCATAGAACAGAGAGGTTTTTCATGTGCCGTGCCTGTGAAATCTTAAGGCTTTTCCATTGCTCTGCCACACCCATTCCTGCATTTCTCATTTCTCCTCTGGCAAAAGGCATTTTGAGGCCCATGTTTTTGTGGCATCCCATGTTTCACACGCGCTTAGGGCCTGTGATTTGCTGCTGTGGCCCCAAAGTCTTGTTAACTGCCCCCTGTCTGGGGTCTGTTTTATCAGGCCAAGGCTCTACCGGTCCATGAATGAGCTAGCAGCAGGTAGGTGAGCAAGCGCATCTGGGCCGCCTGAATTGGAATTAAGGGAGAACAGACTTTTGTTTTTGTTGACTCTCAAACAACTCTGTTAGTTGTGGCCTAAGTCTTTTCTAAGTCACATTGACAAGAACGAGAAATGTCAAAAGGGAATTCTTTAATATTAAATCATGTTTACTTCATACGCAAACATCCATAGGCATATTTTTATATGAGGGCTTTTATAAATAGGGAAAATAGTATCGGGTTTTGAATGATTAATTATTTTATGTTTCTCTTCTTCAAGCTGCTAGACTGCTTACAGAAAATGAGACCTTCAAGTTCTTACAGTTAAGATTTCTTGATCACCTTGAGCACTGAAAGAAACTAAACCCTGATGTTTCTTGGAGTTTTTATCAAAACGGAATAATTTTGTAAAGAGAATGTGATTGAAGAGCAACAGTATAGCTGATCCATCATAAATTAAAATTAGCTAAGTGCTCATGAGGGATTTGTGCCATGTCTTTAATTCCTTCCCAAATAAAGCTAATGATGACATTGTCAGCTTTGCACTGTCCTCTGATATAGCACTGGCCCTACTGTAATAGAATTTGTGTGTGTGTTGGGGGGGTCTTTATCTACCTCATAGACTGAGCATCTGAGATCAGTTTACCCAGTTTTCAGCACAGTGGTCAATCCGTGGTTAATCAGTGCTGAGCAGGGCCGGGTGCGGTGGCTCAAGCCTGTAATCCCAGCACTTTGGGAGGCCGAGGAGGGTGGATCATGAGTTCAAGAGATGGAGACCATCCTGGTCAACATGGTGAAACCCCATCTCTACTAAAAATACAAAAAATTAGCTGGGCATGGTGGCGTGTGCCTGTAATCCCAGCTACTCAGGAGGCTGAGGCAGGAGAATTGCCTGAACCCAGGAGGCGGAGGTTGTGGTGAGCCGAGATCGCGCCATTGCACTCCGGCCTGGGTAACAAGAGCGAAACTCCGTCTCAAAAAAAAGAAAAAATCAGTGCTGAGCAATTGAATAGCTACACAGTCCACAATTGCTTGGACGTGGTTCTTTTAATACAGGCAGCCCATATTCAGTCCAACTCTGTGAAAAGGCATTGGCTCTTCCCAGGGGTCCTGAAGCATACTAGGGTAGCCATGGGGGAACCACACTGAGCTAAGACTCGCCAAATCCCTTCTCCAGAAACTGGAAACAATCCAATTAATAGCAATAGCTGACATTTTCTGAGTTCTATTTCATTTTATCCTTACAACAATCTTACAAGGCAGATTTTATTAATCCCATTTTACAGATGAAGAAACTGGGTCTTAAGGAGACTAAATTTAAGTTGGGAGCCAATTGGATTAGCCTTGCGCTTTAGCCCAGACATTCTGGGTTCACAGCTCCTGCCGTGCCTCTCACTGACTGTGTGACCTTGAGCAAACTCCTGTCATCTGCCGGTAACTCCCTTTCTGTGTCTATGGCGTGGATAATAATAGCTGTTTTTAAAAATCTGTTACAAGGATTAAATAAAATGATATAAATGGAATATCTAGTGTAATGTCAAAGACCGGGTAAGCATTTAGTGTTTTTATTATAATTATTGCTTTTAGGGCCACAGGAATTCAGACACACATCTGTCAGGTTCTGAAGGAGGTTTATAAGCAAGGCTTGGCAAGGCCAGGTCTGACTTCAGGAAGTGCATTGGAATCACAGAGCAAAGGATGACTTGGGATATCTATCAGCTGGGAGAGAGGCGGGCACTTACCAAACAACCCCAGGCTGAGCTGGGTCTCCAGCAGTGGGATACCAAGTGGGGGTGGTGGAGTCGAACTTGAGATACCTTTCTGAAATAGAATTGACAAAATGTGTTATCAGTTAAAAGTAGGGAATGGGAGACAGAGAAAATTTAATGACAAGGGAGCCTGGGAAAGGGAGGAGCTACCTTTAAGAAGCAGAATAAAGGAGAGAGAATTGTCAGCGTGAACGTGAGAGATGTTAATGTGTTCATATGTTCATGTGTTTTGTATGGTAAAGGTATAGACAGGGGTGTGTATTATGTTCAGGCGAATGTGGACAGTGGATCTGAAATGCCAAGTGCAGCCCAGCTCTGAGGTCAGGGAATGCTTCTCGATGGAAATTGAACCCTGAGTATGTTTTCTAAGCACTCTGCTTATCAGTTTCCTTATCCGTAAAAATGTGGCTGTTGGACAAGATCATTGCTCAGGTCCCTTCCAACACTACGCTTTTTCTGGATTTTGTGATCTTTTGCTGGTTATTTCCACCTGCTGTGTTACTCCCTTTTTGAGACTGTCAGTGGATCTCTTTTTAACTGGTCTCACAGATGACAAACCCCTGAGCATGGGGTTCAGAGCCCTCATCCCATGACTATATCTTACTTTTCATTCTCCTGTCTTTTTGCCCCAGCCATCCTAATGTAATTAACAAAGTGACTCACCATCCCCCAGATACACCCTAATATTTTTTTTCCAGGTTCTGCTCACAATGCTTCCTCTGCCTGGAGTGTCTTCCAGCTGTCTCTCCTCTGACAAGTTTGTTACACAGCAGGCACTGTTCCCTGCAATCTCCCTTCTATGCCAGACCCTGGTTACCATTCATTGATCCCCTGCCCTGTGCCATGCCCATGCTTTGCAAGTATCTTATCTCACGGCCTAATGGCAAGTCTTGCAAGACGGAGGTCTTCTTATCTCCATTTTATATGGGAACAAATTGAATCTGACATGTTAAGAAGCTTGCTAAAGCCTCGGAGTTGAGATTTCATCTTGGCTCACTCTGATCCCAAATTCCAAGCCCATTCTACTACTTCAAGCTACAGGCCTTGGGACGCTTGGGAAATCTTTCTTATGGATTTTATCTAAGGTAGTCTTCTGCTTTAGGGGGTTCAGCATAGTTTTATTGAGCATCTACTGTATGCCAGACACCTGCACAAATGTTAACCCACTTAAGGGTAGGTTTTATATCTTACTTATTATATCTTTTCCATGACTTAATTGAAAGGTGGTACTGAGGTAGAAATATAAATGTTTGTTGAGTTCAACTGCAATGAGTAGAGTCACCCATCTAGCATAAAGAGCTATCATCAAATTAGGAATCAACAAACATGTCCTCCTGTTAGCTGAATGATCTGGTTACCTGTAGGATGACTGCAGCTTCATTGGGAACTCTGTTAAATAGATCAGTTGAAATTGGTCAGGGATGACTTAGGTTTTCTTTATAACTCTTTGTCCTTAAGGTTCGTAGCTGTTTTTTAGGACACATTTTAGATCATTGTTAGTGAAAGGAATTAAATGGTTTCTTAAAGGACAAAAGGAATTTATGTCAAAATAAATTTACTTATCATTGTTGGACATGTATTTTGACATAAATACCTACAATTACAGTTGGATTACTAGGATCATCACCAAGATGTATTTAAGTTGAATTTGTACAAGGCTTTGTGTTAAGTGTACAAGAAAGAAAACTATAGTAAGACTTCATTTCTCTCCTGTTGCAGAAGCAATGGAGCTTTTCTCATACCTAAATATTTAAGCTAGCTGAGGTGTGTGCTACCAAGTGACAAGACCTTTTATTTTAAACAGAATTGATAAACATATTTCATAAGCAAAATATATGAAAGAAAAATTTTCTAATATTCATGCATTGTCATACAATTTGTGACATGAAATATATTCAACAAAGGTATTCAACATGAGCGCACTTAGGTTACTAAGTGCCAGGTGGTGGTCTAAGTTCCAAGGATAAGGCGGTAAATGGCACAGGTGCTTGGCCTCATGGAACTTAATTCTAACAGGAGGAGCATGGAGTTAACAAGTAAGCAAACATAGTTATCCCTCGGTATAGAGGAGGTTGGTTCTAGGATTATCCCTTGTCAGGATACCAAAATCCACAAACGCTCAAGTCCCTGATGTAAAGTAGCGTAGTATTTGCATATAACCTACACACATCCTCCTGTATACTTTAATTATCTTTAGATTACTTAAGGCAACATAGATGCTTTGGAAATAGTTGTTATACTGTATTGCTTTTTATTTGTATTATTTTTTTTTTCAAATATATTTGATCCATGGTTGGTTGAATCTGTGAATGCAGAACCCATGGATATGGCAGGCAGACTGTAAGTGAGAAAGGTAATGTCAGATATGGTAATCGCAGCCATGAAGAAACTACAACAAGGAATTATTTGCTTTGTAGCAGGGGCAGAGGAAGAGGCCCCTTTAAGTAGGGCAGTCAGATAAGGACTCCTTGAGGAGAGACATTAAATCTGAAACTAGAAGAATGACCATCAAGTGAAGAATTGGAGTAGAGCAAAGACCCTGAGATGAGGGGAGCACAGGGTGTTCTAGTTTGAGCTAGTTTGTTGGGCCTGAAGTGTCCGTGAAACTTTCAAGAATATAGGTTGGGCAGGTCTATGACCATGGGAATCAGAAGGATGGGAGGATGACGGCATAGAAGTTAAGACTGGACGGTCCTTAGGTTCCTGGAGATAAATAAAACCAATGAACAGAATCATTGTTTACGAGAACTATTACAGAAGCTGCTTCCCTTCTCGCACACATCTCCCAGTGACAGTGGTAAGTCCTGTGGGGCATTAAACTAAACATATTACCAAAAAATAAATAAATATGTACTCATTTAAACCTCGAAACAACCCTGGAAGGTAGGCACTATTACTTTCCTTCCATTTTGCAGATAAGGAATCTGAGGCAAAGAGATGTTCATTTTCCCAAGATCACATTTATTTCGTGGTGGAGATTAGAGGAAAACCTAAGTAGTTTGGTTCAGGGGTCCATGATTTTAATTGTTACATCCTGTAGCCTCATGCACTATCCATTGAGATGGGGTAAATGAGACCTTAGAGAAAGCAGAGAAAAAGAATAAAGACAGCATAACGAGAAGATAGGAGGGGAGTCGAGTACAGTAGTACATTGTCTGCTGGGAAGTAGATAGGGTACCCATGTTTGAATTTGTTTTTTTTTTTTTGAGTTTATCACTCCATGGTTGCATAACTGTTGTTCCGTTATATTTACCATATGCTTTCCTGGACCAGTAGCTAGAATAAACTCATTGTTTATAAAAACCTCTTCAACTAGCTAACAGAGGAATGTGCGTGAGTGACAAACAAACCAGAAGCATGAAAGGAGCTGGCTGAAATGAGCAACAGCAAAATCAAATGACCCCCCAAAACCATCTTTAGCAAACAGAAAGAGCACTAGTTCCCCAGGCTGCTTTTGCGATGCTTGCTTCAAGGCCTTTTTATTTTTAAGAGGACACAAAGCCTGTTTGAAGTTCTTGGAAAAATCCCACCTTCTTTTCTTTTTTTTTTTGACAGAGTTTTGCTCTTGTTACCCAGGCTGGAGTGCAATGGCGCAATCTCGGCTCACCGCAACCTCCACCTCCTGGGTTCAGGCAATTCTCCTGCCTCAGCCTCCCGAGTAGCTGGGATTATAGGCGTGCGCCACCGTGCCCAGCTAATTTTTTGTATTTTTAATAGAGACGGGGTTTCACCACGTTGACCAGGATGGTCTCGATTTCCTGACCTCGTGATCCACCTACCTCGGCCTCCCAAAGTGCTGGGAATACAGGCGTGAGCCACCGCTCCCAGCCCCACCTTCTTTTCAACCAGAGCCTGGCACCCTAAATTTTGCCTATTGTATTTGGTAGAAGCCACCAGCACTGCCCTGTCCTATTATTTTCATCTCTAAACTCATCCTGGGGGTTGTTGAGACAGGAGAGTTCCTTGGTCCCCTTTGCAGAACTTACAAGAGGGGTGTGGCTTGCTTGCTTGGCTGCCAAGCTCAAACCCCTTGTGGAAGGGGAAGCACACAGGCAAGTGGGTGCCAGGGCTAGGGTGAGTGCTTTTAGACTCTGGCCCCATGGTAGCATTTAGGGGTGTGTACAATTAATCCTCTTTTAGCAGTTGCCATCTGTGAATGGCTAAGAATTAACCAGCTCAGTAGAGGGTCAGGCCTTTTATGCCCTGCCCTCTTGGTACCTGGGTCATTATCTGGCATCCAAGAAGAATTAGGTCACATGGACTTGAATAACGGTGAATGCAGAGGCTTTATAGAATGATGGAGGTGGCTCTCAGCAGGATGGGGAGCTGGAAAGGGGATGGAGTGGGAAGATTATCTTCCTCTGGAGGTTGGGACAGCAAAACTCCTTTCCAATCCTCCAGCTGCTTCTCTAACGTTCAGATGCTTCTGGTCTTCTCTCCTTCTCTGCCACACCACTCTGATCCTTTGCAGTGGAGTTTGAGGTTTGGGTACAAGATGGGAGGCATGGGAGGCATGGGAGGCCACGGCGGTTTTGGAAAAAGCAACCTTCAGGAAGGAAAACAGGAATGTGAAGTTCTCATTTATGGCCATGGGCCCAGGTTTGTGGGTGAGGCTTTTGCCAGGGAACTGCCGTCTTCTGCCCAGTATTTCCCTGTCTCCTGTCAGTATCACTGTGGCCACTCTGTGTTGGCTGCTGCAGAATGTCTCCAGATGACCCATTCTGGTTCTTTACACAACTCTGAGGTTGTAAAGGAGAAAGTGTCAAAAGAAGGACTTCCTCCTGTTCTGCTCAATTCTCCTTGTCCTCAGAAGAAGCCTGATTGTATTCAAAATAGGATAATCCAGCTTCCATGACGCCTGCATAAGATGGCACTGAGGTAGAAATTGAGTAAATGTTTGTTGAGTTCAACTGCAATGCGTAGAGTCACCCATCTAGCATAAAGAGCTATCATCAAATTAGGAATCAGCAAACGTATCCTCCTGTTTGTTGGACATGTAGGAGTAGTCCTGCCCTTTCCTGGGAGAGTTAAGGAAGTTTCCCTGGTTTGCCT